ACCTTGCTGTTGAATTGTGCTATATAAATAAACTTGCCTTGCCTTGTTTTTTAGCTGCCATTAGCCTCTGCCCTCCACCTGCCAAAATCCAAATTTGACTCTCCTTTAATATTACTTTGTAGCCAGAGGCTCTTGGGTCTCAAAGTGGAGATTCTTTATAAACATGCTGACTTAATGCTATCTTTGCTCAGGACACACTATTGAAAATGACTTCAGCTTTCTCGTTAAATAAAGGAAAATTAGTTTTTTAAATACTCCAGTGTTTTCACCATCTAGGCCCTAACTTTGTCTCCTTTTCTTTATTGTCTGGCTCAGACTTGTTTTTGTTCAAAGTACAGAGCTCAAAGAGACTAACAGTTTCAACAGCACCGACAGAGTTTGTTGATAATTGCCACACTCAGGAATTTCACAAAATTGCTGATATAAAAATATTGATTGGATCAGCTTTAAGTCTTGTTTTTCTAATCTCTTTGTTCTCTCTCCAAGTTCCTCACAATCAGACAGCAGTAAGAAACAGAAAGTGGAAATCACGGCAACAACAGCAACGACAGGAAATGGAGAAAAACACACAGGTGGGCAGCAGCCAGAAAAACACATTAATATGCAGCTCATATAATATACAGTGGAGTTTGTTCCCTGTGAGCCTGTTAAAAAGTAGAAATGGATGCAGATTCAGTGGACCACTCTTACTCTCTTTCCTACAGTTCAAATCACTGTGACTGTTGTATGTTGGCACAAGGTCTTACACTTAAGTTATGCTTTCCAGAAGAGGGGGGCGGAGCAGGAGCCAAAGATCAACAGACAGTCCCTGGCGTCACTGCAAAGCCGCCCTCAGCCGCCTTGAGCTCCGGCCAAGGCGTACTACACTTGCCGTCGGCGGCCGTGTGTGTCGGTGTTTTACCAGGACTCTGCGTTTATTCCGGCAGCAGCGACTCTGACAGCAGCTCGGACAGCGAAGGTAGCGTGGACGCAATTATGTCGCCGTACCCACGGCACAACAGGGCCTACAGATAGACATACAGCAGTATCCACACACAAACTGATGCATGTTGGCAGCAATTAGAAAAGGTGACCTCACATAACACATGCACACACAAACTGATTAAAGTCATTTATAGAGGCGTATCTGCAGGTAACAGGAGTTATTGTCAAGTAAGTCGTACACCTGCAACACACAGCAAGCAAACATTTTATGAATTCCTGTTGTTTTCACAGCTGTGAGTTTAACTGTTGCTCTTCGTCATCAAAGTTCAGCCCAGTGATACAACCCTAATAAACCAACTTTAAACTCTATTATGAGCTAAATCTGTGTATCTATTTGTGTTGTTTTGCAATTGTGGCACCCAAACATGACGCCTCCACCCTTCCTTCCCTCAATTGCATGTCACGCAGTTTAAGCCGAGCAACCAATCCCGCACTGCCTACCCTGATGACATCCTGCCCCCCCTACACTCCCTTCCCAACCCAAGCCGCAACGGCTGCAAGCTGTGCTATTGGCTGAGGGAACAGTGATTGACAGCTGTGGAGCAAGGAAGAGACTGCTTTAGACTGTCACATGACTCACACCTTTTAGCTATCTGCAGCAGAGGAGTGAGAGCAGGACTGCGTTTGGGTTGAATGCCGAGTCTGTTTGGATTGAAAAATTCTGTTTTTATTTGTGTGAAGTAATGTATGTTTGTTTAAAAGTTCCGTTATTCTGGGAAGATACTGGACTGTTTATTGCTGTCTCAGACTTTGGGGCGTCTGAGAAGAAATAAATAAAGAGATTTCCCTGTGTTGTGCCGTGTTTTACTTTGGAGTTTCTGAGAGTACAACAGAAACATTATATTTACAGGAAGTTTTAAAAATGGCTCACGTTTAGGAAATGGGCATGATTATTCCTTTTAATTTGGTGCCTCTAAAGAGTGTAAATGTCTGTTTTTCTGAGAGGTTATAGGAAAAGAGACAGGGATTCATCTAGATTTGATGTTTTGGGGGCCTCAGCCCCAGTCACAATATCATGCATAATATTAATATTAATGGTAAGCAACTCTCTTCACATTTAATAGTTGGGTACACATAACAATTTTAACTTCCAAACCAGCTTAACTAGTGGAATGACCTGTTGCAGTGACTAAGAATAATTCTGAATAAATAATGAATATAACACACCAGTTTAAGGGTGGACACTAGTTATCAAATATGAATCAAAGGGTCGATAATGTTGACCAGAATTTTCCAAAGTTAAAGTAAGAATTTTGCGAGGAGAAAGGAGAAACATGCTTTACATTGTTTCAGTCTGTTATGAATGGGATGTCACCAAAGTTCATGCATGTGAAGGCAGACAAGCTAATACTTTTGGCAATACAGTGCATGAAAGAGGTGGTCTAAAATAACATGCATATTTAACAATTGATTACAGTTTGACAGGCAGGGAATAATCTAATGTAAATCTATGAGGCTCTAGCTTTTTCAATAAAGTGTTTTCTATTTTTATTCTGTATTACCAAACGTAACTTTGTTTCTTACATTTTAAGCCAGCAACATGTGACAACTTCTGCATGTAGAAGGCAGAGATAGGTCTCTATGATGCCCTGCAATAACTAAGCTCTTTTTGGCAAACGCTCTCTTGGTGCCAAAAAATAACACAAAGTTTGGTACTCGGGATTGTGGCCCTGGGTATGACCCGTGGACATGATTTAGGGTTCATCAATGAAAACCAAAATAAAAGAGGGTTGTATAATTGTGTAATTAATGGTTGTGTAATTCTGTTTGTGACAGAAGGTGTAGACAAACTTTTTGTGACCAAATCCATCTGTTATTATATTGCATATATTGCTTTTATGAGGCTATTTGCACTGCCAGAGTGCACCTACTAAAAATATACCAGTTGAACAATTTCTCTCCAGTGTTGTGGGAAGCATTTAGTTTCAAATCCTGGGAAGAATATACATTAAATCTAGTCCGTTAAATAATTTAATGGGGAAATGCAAAGAGGCGAATCTCAGTTCATTTTTTCTTTTAATATATGAACTAATACCACACGTGGAAAAATAGATCAAGTTCTTTAGTAACGATTGGAAATGATCTACAGGAAAGACTATAAACAGAGGAGTTCGTGGTTCACTCAGCTCTCTGATTGTGATGGCGCAGCTTTGCGCACAGCCTTTGTCAGGGCATGCTGGATAACTGGGTACAGTTTATAGCATCCCTCAATGCAGGTCCTCACTCCAGCGGTTAGAGTCTCTTCAGTCATTTCTCCATCAGACTGTAGTCCAGAAATCTGGTTCAGGCTTGGGAGGAATGCGACAGTCAGACCACCCTGGTTCTCACAGCTTACCGAGTTGCAGCAGTTTTCCTCCATGTAGGAGGGGTCAACCACATAGGAGGTGCCATCCTGGCGCATGGAGCAACCGAGGACCAGATCATACATTTCGATCCCCGCATCTGCAAGCGCAAGAGAGGCGCATGTGACGGCATGGGCCAGAACTGAACCGCTGTTCTCAAGAACCATCACGTTGACCTCGATCTGAGAGCGAGGGTATTTGTGGAGACATATGGCAGGCTGCAGGCTCTCATGTAACATCAGGGAAAAGTCCTTGTCCTGACTCCCCTGAATCCAGGAGCCCCTCTCCGGGCAGGAAAATGGAGCAAAGCGCATGTCGGTAGTCAATCTGGACACAGAGAAAAACAGTTGTGGTTGAGTCTTTTTTTTTTTCCCCCTTCTTTTTTTTAAACTGTCACAGATATCAGTGTCCACTTCAAACTGAATGCTTTATTGGTATACCCACATAAGCTCAGTTTTCAAACTAACTTGGTACTAAATAATAGTTCACAGTGAGAAGTAATACAAAAACCCGCGACCCTGAAAAGAATAAGCGGAAGCGGATGGATGGATATGTCAAAAAGCGTTTTAATCCCCTTAAAAAAACAAACAAAAAAAACAAACAAAAAAGTGCTGCATTTGGATTAAGTCAATAATGTCTCCAGCAATTGTTTTGGGCAAAAGTTAAAATTCTGTTGCATTTCAATTGTTTATGTGGTTTATTAAAGTTTAGACTAGTTTTCACGCATGTGTAGTTCAGAACAGTGGGGGAAATAATTAAAAAAAAATCCAAAAATTCTGCTATCCATGTAAGACACAGCAGGCTGTATTTTTATTATGACTTCACAGTCTAATCAGCAGAAAACTATTTCTTTGTTTGTTGTGTTGTTAGAATAGTCAATATGCTTAAAGATTTAAACAAACAAACTCCATACCTTCCACATTTCATATTCGTCTCATCCTTCCGGTCTGTTTCTCTGGGGCCGTAAACGCAGCACATCAGCTTGGTGTTTCCAGCCTCCAAGTACGCGGAGCCTTTAGCTTGGCTCACCAGGCCACAGCGGACGAAAACGGGCCGCACGTCGACCTGATCCCGTCGCCGACCGTCCGCTCTGGGCCCCTTCGAGGGCAGAACCGCCGCCGGATCGCACGAAAAGAGAGACGGGCTCTGAGACACTTCTGGACCACGAACACGTTTGGTGTCAGTCGGCATGTTGAAGTAAATGAACCAAGCAACCGGTCCCGCACGAAATCTCTTCCCCTAGAAACATAGCATGCTGGAGAAATTCTTCCGCTAATATACGCACACTGAAGGATATTACATCAGAAATGCGAAATATCGAGTACGTACGGATGCAGCAATATTTCATCATTATTACTAGTCAGTTCGTATGCCATAAAATAACAGTCACAAAAAAGTGATATATGTTATTAATCAAGGACAGAATAAAATCCTTTCTTTTAAAAAAATGTAAATAGATAAATAACAACATTAGTTAAAAAAGTTAGAGTACTTAAAACAAAAGCTGGCATACATTGGGCTTGCGGACCTTTCTCACATTTCTCTACATCAACTAACATATTTAAAAACGACAACAAAAATCTGAGCTGACACCGTTTAAGTTGCATCAGCCAAAGCACAGAGGTTCGTGTCGCTGCCGTGGCGGGCTCGGTTAAGAAGGACAGTAGATTTGTCCAATAGGAATCCAGAATTCTTGACTTTTCTGTGTAGCCGGACCAGTTGGAGGCTGTCGTAGGCGTGCCCGCTGCTTGTGCTTTCCTTCAGTTTGAGCAGCGTGGAGTGAAGGAGAAGTACCTGATTCATTCTGCGGGAATAGCGGCTTCTGTGAGTATTTTCACGTGTTTAAATGTAGTTGAAATAAGTTATCTTTATTGTACTGTTCAGCAGAATAGCCTTTCAATTAGAGCAGTGTGCCGAACTGTCTATCTCAGGCTGAGCGCAGGGAGGTAGCTTGAGTTAACTAGCTAACACATTAGCCTGCTAACGTCAGATCAAGCTAGTGCCTCTGCCTACAATAACAATTATAGTCAGCTGACTAGCTTATATTGAAGACTGTCGGTTTTTGGTAGAACTTTAAGAGGAAATATGTTGTATCACATGACTGTCACAAATTTGTGTGGTCTGGAAGTTTATGTTAGGCTTGCGAGATTAAGTTCACTGATTTTGTGCCATGGAGACAGAGAACAGGGCTGTTCCTGTTACTAACCTGAAAGATGGGTCCAATATTTATCATCAACCTGGTCTCCGTCTACCTGTTCTATGATTATAAATGTCCTTATTTTGTCTTGAAAATGGACCATTATTTATTTCTCAAAACCACTGGGCTAATACTTCCCACGTCTCTTCTTTCTCTGTCTGCCCGCTAAATGCTTTGTTGTCAGGACGGGGACATGGGCTATTTGTCACCCAGAAAGCTGAAAACACCAGCTGAGGTTTGCTTTGGCAGTCAGTTTTCACCATTGGGAATTGAGCTCTGCTGCCTTTTAATTATATATGGTATCACATTTTAATGAAATATGTGTACTCCAAAAATCCACAAAGTGCTTACAAATCAATTGTAAGTTGCTTTTGTTTCCATTCTTACCTAAAATTGCATCTGACTTCATATTTAAGATCGCAGCATTGTGTCTCACTGGATTCCTGAGCTGCTGTTGTTTATGAGAAGAGCGTCAGGCCAATTAGCTGCAGCTAGGTTAACATCCACACCCTACAAACAGACTTAACTTTAAGCTTTTGGTGTGGAGTGGTAAAATCAAAACATGCACAATTACTATAATGACCGATAAACAATTTCATAATGTTTTGATACTTTATGGACAAAAACATATATTTTCGGACCAACACTGGACAGTTCTTTAACCGGCCTTTAAAAGCACTGACAAATGTATAATTCTTTTTTTTTTAATTAAATGGGATTGCCTTGAATGACATTTTGGTAAATAAAAAGGAGCTACTCCAACAGCTTCCAACAAAGTACAGCACTTGCATATAAAATATGAAAGAAAATTGTTGCTTCTTACGGTGAAAACAACAAGGTGGTTTGTACAACCCCTTATGCACCAGCCTTGCCAGAGCTCTCGCTAGTTGCGCAGTCATGACAGGAAGAGAAACCCATGGGAAATTGCTGATGCTGTTAATTGATGGTAAGCCAGTGTTTTAAACAGCTGGTTAAAAAGCTTTACCCAAGATGTGACACACATACACCTCTTCTGTACTTGCTAAATTAGTATTTGGGCACGAGCACTGAGAGTGTACCCTTAAGGGGACTACTGCCTGAAAGGGAAGAGCAGGCCTTAATTGTGTTCTAATAACTCAGTAGTAAAGTTGCTGTTACTCAGACCAAATAATCATCCACCTCTCTAAATGGGACCAGTTTCTGTGAGTTAAATTATTCGTCTGTCTGTGACCTGGAACAATTTAATTGGACCAAGAATTAACTTTAAAAAATCACTGGCTGCATACAAGACCTCTTTAAATGTGCTTGATAGCTAAAGTGTTTCTTTTCTCTGTGTGTAATTTTGTTCACAGAGCTTCTTCAGAATGGACTCCTCCTTGAATGCAGCTCAAATTCGCCAGAAGTTCATTGACTTTTTCTGTCGCTATGAGCACCCGTACGTTCACTCTTCATCCACCATCCCCCTGGATGACCCCACGCTGCTTTTTGCCAATGCTGGCATGAACCAGGTACACACAATGTCTTTCCCAACACTGCTTCCTACACCATGGCTCTTCTTTATGTTCCCACTGATTCACAACTTTTAGAATAAGCTCGGAAATCAGATCTAGCAAACTTTCTTGAAAAAAAACAAACTTTTTTTTTTCTCAAGATTTTTCTTTTTTTTGCACCTCATTTTCTTTAGTTCAAGCCCATCTTCCTCAACACTATTGATCCATCACATCCCATGGCCAGGCTGCGTCGTGCTGCCAACACCCAGAAGTGTATTCGTGCAGGAGGCAAACACAATGATCTGGACGATGTGGGTAAAGATGTCTACCACCACACCTTCTTTGAGATGCTGGGCTCCTGGTCCTTTGGGGACTACTTTAAGGTATTACATTTTCTCATCCTTCACATCAGTTTCACTTTTTTGTTACTTGTATTTTTAGTCCCACAGATTTAAATCCTGTTTGTTGAACAGTGCTCGAGTACACACACACACACACATATTGCTGTAGGACCTTTCACCATTTATAAATTTCTCCTCTGCAAACATTTTGTTTGCCAAGTACTTTGTGATAAATGTATAACTAGGCAATATAATCTGCTCCCTCTCAAGTGACTCTACCAACTTCTTTGCCTTGGACAGCAGCTAGCAGTAGCTGTTCAGCTCTGTAGCATTGGTGAGCTCATTGTAAAGGCACAGGAAAAAGGCACTTTCAAAATAAGAGTGAGGGGATTGTCCACTAGTAAAAACATACATAGTGTCATTATCTTAGGTAAGTAGAGATAATTCTAATACAAAAATGCTTGAACATATGAGCCTGGGGCTCATCTAATTCTTTTTATATTTTCGGTTGAAGTGGTTAAAGTTGATCTATGTGAGAATCTTGCTGTTCTCTCCTTTTTGTCAATGTTGCTTGTTATATTACAATGACATATTCATTATCATTATTAATGGATAAGACATTGCCTAAACAGCTCTAAATTGTTATTGCATCATTTTTGCTCTCCAGGAATTAGCCTGTAAGATGGCCTTGGAGCTGCTGACTCAGGAGTTTGGTATTGCTTTAGAGCGCCTGTATGTCACCTACTTTGGAGGTAATGAGGATGCAGGCCTGGAGCCTGACCTGGAGTGCAAACAGATCTGGATGGACTTGGGGTGAGTGAGCCTTGGGAGCATTGACTGTATGTAAAAATAGATAAAGCTTGTGATGCAAAAAGTGAAACGAGTTTGCAGGTTTAAGGCACTTCCAATCTTTTTAATGGCAAGAAAGAGGCAGCGACATTTCTGTACAATCAAAATGAGCTATAATCTGATATATATATTTATATATATATACACACACACATACATACATACTAGGGATGCAACGATACACAAAATTCACGGTTCGGTTCGATACTTTTTTGATACAAAAAAAATGTTCATGCTTTTTTAATTTGTCATTTATTAAAATTATAAATATATATTTTAACTCAAAAGTACAGTTTTTAAATTGAATGTTGCTGAAACAACAAAGTAATAAAAAAATTAATCTATCTGATCGAGAAATCGCTCATCTTTGGAAAAGAGAGTTTATTACAGAGAAATGGCTCTTTCCAAAATAAAAGCTATACTATACGCTATATTCTCAGCAGCATATTAAACATATCAGGTCCCCATAAGGAGAATCATGTGCTAACGGCTGTCTAAATGACTCGGGTAAAGTTTGTAGCATGCGTGCTTGTTGTTTTT